GGGTTGGAGGGTGGGGGCAGGTTCTCATCCTGACTGGCTTCCCCACTACCAGCAGAAAATCCCTAATACCAGATGAATGAGCACTTTCTACATGCCTGACATTTGTGCTAGGTGAATTACGTGGTTCATTTTCTTGAGTCCTCCTGATGACCTGAGTGGTGGGTGGAATCATCACCTTCATATTATAGATGGGTAGATGAGGTCCTGAAAGCAGAAGTGCCCGGAGCAGTCTCCATCTCTGAGGCTGGACTTTGCTATACCCCTCAAGGTCATGGCCTCAGTGACTCCTTCCAGAACCCGGGAGGATATGCCCTTGTTTTGCAGATGAGGACACTGAGGCTGCGAGAGGCAAGTCACTTGTCCACCTGCCACAACATCCATGTGTCAGGGTCAAGCAGCCTCTCCCAGCTGCGAGGGGCAGTGGGCATGTCCCTTACCTCTGTGGGCTGGCTCCTAGTAATGTTAATATATTAATAGTTACTGTATTATAACCTCAGGAGCATGCGTGACAATGGCCAAAGGGCTGTCATATACACCATCTCATTTGCTCCTCTCATCAGACCTATAAATCTTCAGTCCGACTGTATTTCCTCCATTTTAAAGTCTGGAGGCCTAGAGAATTGAGTGACGGGCTGAGAGGGCCTAGGAGCCTCCATTATGTAGCTGCTGGCCCTGCGCTGTACCAGGGCAGCCTGATGTGAAAGCTCTCGAAGGCAGTGCAGCCAGCTTCTTTTCCAGTTGCAGGGGGGACAGAGGAGCAGCTCTCCAGAGGAGCTGGGCTGACCTCTAGGCCAAGCCCCCCAGCTACAGTTCGTACATTTTCAGCAAAAGAAAGGACACCAAATGACAAAGCCAAGGGCAAGGTGCCAGGGACAGCTGCCAGAGTCTCAGGGGACCCATTACCCTCCACTGCCCAAGGTCATCTATGCCCCTCCATCAGTCAATTGATCAATCAGCTCATCATAGAGTTTGCATCATGGACAGAGGGCCAGGCGACTGCCACCAAGCAGGGCTGCTTCTGCACAAGTGCCCACCACCTGCCAGGCACTGACCGTGCTAGGCATTCTTGTACCAACCCTCACAAAACCCCTTCAATATGTCATATCAGCCCCATTTTACAGAAGAGGCAATGGAGGCTCAGAGGGGTCGAGTGACTTGTTCAAAGTCACACAGCCAGGAAGCCTCAGAAGTTCCTGGTAATCTGTTTCAACCAAGGAGTGACAAAGGAAGGAACCATCCAAAACCCTTCAAAGGGAGGGAAGGGACGCACTGTGGAGATGGGGAGAAGGGAGAACCTGAATTGTGAGCTCTGATTCTCTCGGGACATGACTTACTCCTCAATCCACCTGTTCTCTGTTTGTTTACATATTCATGTACCTTCTCCACATGCCAATCTCTTTGCTCAGATAAACCAGGCTCATCTCTGTTCTCATAGAGCTCACAGCCTAGCAGGGCAGAATGGAAAGGGAAACCGAGGCAGGCAGAGGCCACCACTTACCTGGGTCTGCTAGTATTTACTGAGGGTTTACTGTAGGCCAGGCCCCGTGCTGGGTACTGAGGGCACCAAGTAAATGAGAAGCACAAAGCTCCTGCCCTCCTGAAGCATATATTCTAGTTGTGTCCTGCTTTAAACCTCCAGAAACTCTGCTTACACGACTCTGAGACCTGAATACAACGGGGACTTTCTCTGGAACGGTTGGGGCAATGCAGCAGACCTACGGGTCCTCCATCAGTCATTCTTGGGCCTGGTTGGTTCTGAGTTACTGAGCAGGGATCCGGAAGGGTAGGAAACCTGATTCGTGTCTTCCCTAGGGACTAAATCAGGGCTCTGGGGAAGCCAGACCTGTTCAAAAGGGCCTGGGGTCATCCAGTCTGGACAACTGGAGGGCCAACAAGGGCCAGTCATTCAAGGTGTAGCCACAGACCCCTGGGGCTGGGGACACAGCAGAGAATCTCTGAGCCAGGAGGTCTCCATGGTTCTTACACCCAGACTCCACCATGCTTTAGCTCCTTTGCTCCCCACTGACAGCAACACTGGCTCGGAGGCAGCAATATGGCTTTCGATTCCAGCCACTCCAGCATAAGGTCCACTTCACAGTCTAGCAAAGAGAGCAGTGAAAGAACTTGCCCAAGATCACCCTGTCAACTCATGGCCCAGGCAAAATGTGAACCGAGGACTGCCTGACCCTTCCCACCAGCTCATGTCCCAGGATGCCGCCCAGGAGGACGGGCACATTCACAACCCATGCTGGTGACACTAGACAGTGCCCCAACCGGGGCCCAGCATGAGCTGCGGGCACAAAGAGAAACTCTTTGTTTCTCTTTGTGTAAAAAAGTAAAACCTGGGTTTTACTTTTTGGTTTTGCCAAATGCTCAGCCTTTGCCATCATCCCAGGTGTTCAACTGCGGGGTCCCTCTCAGTGTGAATGGCAGACAAGATACCCTATAACGGCTCCACCTCTGTAGACAAAAACCTGGTTGTATATTAAGTGGAAATTTTAAAACTACTAAATTCCCTTGGTAAAATAAAAGAAAGTTGAAGTAGGAGAATGAAAAAAAAATAGGAGAATGGCTAAATAAATTATTAATAGAATATTACATAGCCATTGAATAACTTTAAAGAAAATCTTAATGCTGTGAGAAAGTGTTCCCAATGTAATGCAATGTCGGGGGGAAGTCAGCTATAGAGTATGATTGCAATTAAAATGTACACATATAGGGCCGGC